ACACTAATTACAACAATTAAAAACGGATGAAAACTAAACAAGAAATGGTGGCACAAAGTGCAACAACGTGAGAATGAAGGCACAGACTGAAATACACTGGAGCAGAGGAGAAGCTGAAAGAAAGGGGAAATGGAGCCATGAAGTTCCCTGAGTAACCTTTGGTCACCCACTCACTCTCAGCCTCATCTAGGGTTGTTATGGATTGAGGCACAAGCAGGACAAATGTTGCCAGTTCCTAAAGTAAAACAAAGATGGCATCAGGGAGGGAGTATGCAGAGCACAACCACAGAAGAGACTTTTTAAAAAAACAATTCCTGAAGGCAGAGGAACTCCGAGCTCTGGCAATGGCAACATTTAAACAGAAAGGAATGTTCTTAGCGGAGGAGGCACTCCGGATTGAGGCTGTGCAGGTTGGTTCTTAAAGGTAAGCACCAGCATATTGAAGTGTTCCCGGAAAACACTCAGGGGAGTTTAAATGGCCTAAGGAGAAGTCAAGCTGAGCGTTCTTTGTGATGTTGAGAATCAACAAGCAGAGGCAGGGGCCTTAATCTCAAACCAAGGACAGAAGCACCAGCAATGGGCATCAGTTCACACATTTGCCTCTGGTGGTGCTGTGGGAGGAGGCAACTGGTGAACAGACACTGATCATTGTCTTGTCACTGCTAAAGGGAGCCAAGCAACTCCTTGAGAGCTAGTTTGGTGTGGTGGTTATGAGCAGCGGGCTCTAATCTGAAGAGCCGGGTTTGATTCCCGAGTATTGCTCATAGGATGTCTGTTGTGGGGAGAGGAAGGGAAGGCGATTGTAAGCTGCTCTGAGACTCTGAGTGAAGGGTGGGTATAAATCCAGTCTCTTCTTCTCCTGCTGTACATGTGGGGCTTGGCTGTGCTAGTTCCTGGCCTCCAGGATAGTGGCCCAGACCCTCCAAGAACCTTCCCACGTGTGCAGCATTTCATTTCCTTTGCCACCACTGGCAGTGAGTGGGGGCAATGCTGAGCACATCGATGGTCATGTTTTGCCTGGTAACCCTACAGACACAGGTCATTTCTGTATGGACATTGCTAAATCTCCAGTAAAGGCGGGCCAGGTGGTAGGTGATATAAAAGACCTTTGTCTGAGATTCTGGACAGCTGCTCCTAGTCCCAATAGATAATACTGACCTTGATGGAAGGGAAGGCGATTGTAAGCTGCTCTGAGACTCTGAGTGAAGGGTGGGTATAAATCCAGTCTCTTCTTC